TTTCCTTTCTTCACTACTCGCCGGTGTTTCTCTCCGTCTTCCTCCACGACCACCACCTTTTCTGTTCAGACACATATGCACCATCGCACATGCTGCCTCGTTCGTCACTACGTCCCATAACCCATCACTCGCTAGAATCAGAAAGTCATCTTCTTCACTCCGATCCGTCACCGTCACTTCCGGCTCCGAACTCACGTACGGTTTCAAGTAGTTGTCTCCTATAGCTCGTGACATAGCTAAAACGCCTAACACTCTTGGACCGTCCCAATATATCACTCTCCCTCCTGCTTCTTGGATCCGATCCAACTCGTCCGGACGATCCGGCTGTTTATATACCAAACATAATTAAAACATGAGTTAAAATCCATATCAATCCAACAAAACCAACAAACTAACAAAGATTTCAAGTGACTGACCTTGTGATCTCTGGAAAGAGGAACTGCTTTGCCGTTCCGACAAAGAACTGCTCTAGAGTCTCCGCAATTCGCTACAACGATCTTCTCCGGCGTAATGACTGAGACAACTGCGGTTGATCCGACAGCATCACAGTCTGGCGTTTGTAACTCGCACCGACAATTAGCACTCATCACCGTTTCTCCCAAACGAACAACCTCCCCGTCCATACGCGTGAAGCTACGCTCCATCATCTTCTTCCATTCTTCTTTCTTATCCAAGAACGCTTCTTCTTGCACTAACTCGTGAAGTCTCTCTTTACACCTCGCCGCAACCTACAAAAACGACGTCGTACTGGAATCAGCCAAACTCATAATAATAACATTCAACTTTTGCAATATAGGAGTGGTTAAAACGGTGTCGTACATGAGAGCAGCCATGTCCGTCGTAAACTCCGAAATAATGCCATCTTGTTCGAGAAAACTCCGTTTGTTTCCGTACAAAAGAAGGATGAATCGCAACCGCATCTTCCATATCTCTTCTTCTACCGCAAACCAATGCGACACCGTATCTTGGTCTCAGATCCGTCGTCGTCGTCTCTTTAACCGTTTTCTTGGAAGGAATAACTGCAATAACCGGTGAGTTTCCGCCGGCGACAGAGACGTCACCTTCATCTCTCTTGATCTCTGTTTCGAGTGATACACTCTCTTCAGTTTCTGAACTACCTTTAGGTGAGCTCCTTGAAGGTGATGATGATGCACAGTTCATAAAATCGTACTCTTCTTGTTTATTACGCTTGTTATAAACCCCATCGGACTCCTCCTTCTGAGCCGCAACTTCCGCCGTTGGTGTATGATTCATCCTGAAACTCTGGACACCGATCCGCCGTCTCCGGCTAGACCACGACGGTTCGTCGTCGTAACAAATATCCGCCATATCTATGAGAACAAAGAAACTGGATCGTCTTCACGAGGTTTCTTTAGCGAATGAACGAATCTGTTGATTGATTAATTTTTACGATAAATGAACAAATTAAT